CTCTGTAACATATGATTTCTGTAAAAAAATGACAAGCACATTATTATTGGTTGGTTTAATAACTTTCTACTTATTAATAGGTCTTGGACTTACACTACTACCAATACCAGGGAAAATGCTTTTTTTTTTTTTTTTTTTTTTTTTGCCATGACTGAATTATTTGAAAGTAAATGGCTTACTACTGAAAACACAGCTACCACCTGCATGGCTATGACCAAAATAGTAACATTCATATACACAATTTTGTAGTACTATTTTCAAGTAAACCGTTTTCCAAACACTGACTGCTACACTGAAGTACGTTACATTTTGGGTGACATTTTGCTAAAAAGAAATAAATTTCAAGTGATTCTTACTTGCTTTGATTGCTTGTTTTTAAGTTCATGACATACTAAGATTCCTTCAGAGGACTTTACTTCCTCTTCTCAGTGCAAATTATCTTATATCTTTCCCAGGTTTTTCGAAGTGATCTTCAATATTCTGGTCTTTTCATTTGTTTCCTAAAATGCAGACCCATAAAATTATCATGAATTATTACAAACTATAGAAACATTACTAGATTTAATGTTCATTGTACACGGTGCCCATGCCTGATTTATTCACCAAATCATTTCCTTGACACATTCCAAATCACAAATAGCACTGATGATAGGGAAATACTTCTGTCATTAAGTGAAATGTGTTGTCATTCTTACCTACAGAAGCCAGGTTCCTGTAGGTTTCCTGCATCACTTCTCTACAGAGATTCTTCTGAGAAGAATCTAGCAAAGTCCATTCCTCTTGGGTAAAGTTCACAGCCACATCCTCAAAAGCCATAGAGTCCTAGAACATTCCACACATGTAGATAGAAGGATGGGTGAGACTGACAGCACTGGGAATCTATACTCAATTCATAAGCTGTTTACATGATTCTAAAATTTCCAAGCATTTATTCTATGACTTGATTGTCACAACTCTTACTCTGTTCACACATACTCCCTCCCACACAGCAGTACTAATGCTAGAATTGAACTATTCAAAAAGGCAACAGCAAAGTAGAAACACTCATCTCATTAGAGAATCCAGGGAGTAAGATGTGCTGCTAGGAGTTACCTTTTAACTTCACTTTGTACATTTCTAGTATCTGTCATAATAAAGTCCTACCTGATGTCCATAAGTGAGTTAATATTATCAGTCCTGAGACTTCTTACCCTTAAAAATGCCTGCTCACAAAGTTCAATCTTTGTTTGTATTAGTAACTTACATTTTGAAAGGGATTCCACCAACCCAAGTAATAAGAATGACTCACTGCATCTAAATGGCTTATGCAATATATTTGCCAAAACTTTTTCTGCTGAAGGTCTATTATTTTGTGTCACTGCAGTGGTGCTTACGGAACTAGACACCAAAACACAGTCTGAACACTAAGTGTTCAATGAGTTTCCCTGGTAGACAATATTTTACATGTGCTGTCACTTGTTAACTGGGGAGTTGAGCCCATTCCATGTGACTACACCGAGAGAGTAGGCTTATTAAATTTAATTGAGTAGTAAATAAAACCAATAACTGATATTTAACAATACTAATACAACAATTTTTAAAATTTCTATTGCACAATGTCAAGGCAGAAAGGAATAAGAGGAAATATGACACCTGTTTTTTAAAATGACATGAATGTCACCACTTCCAGATGCTACTCCTGTGAAATCACATAAATTCCCAAATCAGGTTGTTTTAGGCAAAAAAAACTACTTTTTCATATGTAAAAACAAATGACAAATGTCTAAGGATTTTTAGTCATCTAAAAAAAGAGTGATGGCTTGTCTTATGTACTTCTAAGATTTTCAAACGAAAATATTCAGGACAGCACAGTATTAGCAGAGAGATGAGCAAGCAGACCAAGGGAAAAAAAAGTCTTAATGACCCAGCATTTATATGGAAAGTTGATGAATGATAGAGTAGGCACTGTAGAATAGAAAAAGAAATCACATGCACTTTAAAATATGAGGCAAACCAGGCTGGCATCTACTTGGGAAAATGCATCGCATTCTTCTCTATTCCATGAACCATAATCAACTTATTATATATTCAAATATGAAAGATAAAACCAGAACACTTTCAGAAGTCACAGGAAGATTTTTTTTCTTTTACGAAGGATTAGGCAGAATTTTTTTTATGTAAGAAAAAAGTGATAAAGGAACAGACAAACTCAAACATATTAAAATTTAGGGAATAAAAAGAAAATAGAGTGGGCCGGGCGTGGTGGCTCACACCTGTAATCCCAGCACCTTGGGAGGCTGAGGCGGGCGATCACCTGAAGTCAGGAGGTTGAGACCAGCCTGGCCAACATGGCAAAATCCCGTCTTTTTGTTGTTTGTTTGTTTGTTTTTTGAGATGGAGTCTCGCATTGTCGCTTGGGCTGGGGTGCAGTGGCAAGATCTTGGCTCACTGCAACCTCCACCTCCCAGGTTCAAGCAATTCTCTTGCCTCAGCCTCCCGAGTAGCTGGGATTACAGGTGCCTGCCACCACACTCAGCTAATTTTTTTGTATTTTTAGTAGAGACAGGGTTTCACCATGTTGGTCAGGCTGCTCTGGACCTCCTGACCTCGTGATCCGCCCACCTTGGCCTCCCAAAGTGCTAGGATTACAGGCATGAGCCACCGTGCCAGGCCTAAAACCCCATGTTTACTAAAAATACAAAAATTAGCTGGGTGTGGTGGTGGGTGCCTATAATCCTAGTTACTTGGGAGGCTGACACAGGAGAATCACTTGAACCCGGGAGGCGGAGGTTGCAGTAAGCAAAGATGGCGCCACTGCACTCCAGCCGGGCTACAGAGCAAGACAGCGTCTCCAAAAAAACCAAAAAACATCACCCAAAAAACGCTCAGATATCCAGATGAGAGGATACAGATGTGTCCACTGTCATAAATTCTTCACCACACTACAAGAGGGGAACTGACATTTTGGTGAATCTTTGTAAATCATCAATTTATCTATCACATTTTATTTTACCAGTAGCATTTACAAAGCTAAGTCCTACAATTCCATTTGAAATTACTCTTAAAAACAACAGACCTTTAAAACTTACTACACTCACTCTGGGGAAGAAATAAATATGAATTTTTAGCAAATAAAATACATCATTTTACCTTGCCTCTTTGGAAACAGTATTTTTATCTTTCAAGCTGTACTGACAAAATGTATCTTACAGTCAATGAAAAACTGAAACTCAAATAAGCGGACAAGCCTTTTCAAGGTAACAAACTCAGGGAAAGGCAATGCTGACTCCAACACAGGCCTTTCTAAGTGTCACGGCAGGCCATTCTATCCCTCGGGACACCCATCCTGTTCAGTAAAGTACTGTTACCACCTAGAAGGCACTGGCACTGCTCCTTGTCCTCCTGTGTGCCTTAAGTGTATTTTAATAGTCAGGGGTGCACATCTCTCTGGGGTGGGTTTTCCTTGTCCTTTGGGACAGTTTTTCTCTCTTCACAAGTCTGAGACAATCTAGAGAGCAGAAATCATTTCTGCCTTTTCCTCTCAGTATCAGCTGGCAGGCCATCAACATGTCTCCGAGGAATAAAAACTCGGGCTGGAGGAACAATTTTAATGACCTAACTTTAATGACATTACATTGTATTGTTCATTAATTTTAATGTCCTAAAATTTTAATGACCCTAAGGGGTCACCATTTTAGATGAAACTATACCAGGAGATTCCTCTAAGGCCAAGAGCATCCAGCTGCTCCCCCGAGAGACTCTACCCCCTACCTCAGGCTGCCCTTGGGGATGAGATGACCCTGGGGCTGATACTCACTAGACACTCCAATAGACATGGCCACTGTGGGTATCCTGGGTCATCCCCAGACAGTTCTAAAATGCCAGGACTAGGAAAAGACAGGAGGGTGGCTGAGGACACAACACCCTGTAAAGTTTTCACGAGGGGACCTCAACCTAAAGACATTTTGGTAATATGTACACTTAGGAAAGATGAAGAGAGGCACAAAGATTTTTTTTACAGTAGAGTGTCGGATGATTTATTCTCCGCTTTCCTCTCATGTAAAATGTTTGGAAACAGAAAAATATTTTGGCCAAGGTGGCTCACGCCTGTAATCCCTGCACTTTAGGAGGCCGAGGCAGGCGATCAATTAAGGCCAGGAGTTCGAAACCAACCTAGCCAACATGGCGAAGCCCTGTCTCTACTAAAAATACAAAAATTAGCTGGACATGGTGGTGGGCGCCAATAAGCCCAGCTACTTGGGAGGCTGAGGCAGGAGAATCACTTGAACCCGGGAGTCAGAGGTTGCAGTGAGCTGAGACTGCACCATTGCACTCCAGCCTGGAGACAGGGCGAGAATCCGTCTCAAAAAATATATATCTATACACACACATACATATACACATACATAAAATATGTACATATATATGTATATTATGTATGGTTTGCTTCCTCATTAACCTTATCAAAGCCTCTCATTTACGCCCCTCCTGTGGACCAAAAACCACAAACCATGACTGTGGTACCCGGTTTATGAATCGCCGTTTGCTCAAACACACCGTTTAACGTTTTAACAAAGCCTCAGGTTAATTTTAGGGGGAGAAAGGTGGCACTGGAAGCTCCATGAACCACAGCTCCTCCCACGCTGGAACCCCACACACCGAGTCGGGGCTCTCCCGGATCACCCTCCCGCGGTCACCGCACTACCTGGGTGAGGGAGGCGCGGGGATCCCGAGAGGGCTCCGGCCAGCGGAAGTGGTGCAAACAGGTACAGACAGGACGCAGGGGTCCGGCTGCCCGCCCCGCTTGGCCCTACACAGAAGGGGACTGAGGTCCGGCTGGGCAGCGGCGGCTGGGTCCGCAGGTTCCGCAGCAGATGTCTGGTTCCAGCAGGTTTCAACCAGCCCTCTTCCCCACTTTGGGAAGCTAGGCGAAGTCCACTCACCATTCCTCGGCTTCCCGGGTATCCAGGAGTCAGCTAGGCATGTCCCAATACTCGCAGGTCACAGGGTGGCAGAGGCTGCTGCAGAGCCACCTGGGCCTCCCAGAGCCAAGAAGCAGCAGCGGAGACGAACAGAAAGAACCTCCTGTGGCGAAGGCGAGACAAAGCGCCCGCCAGCCAGATTCCGGAAGCCGCCCTCTCCTTTCCGGCGGCGCGCCTGATTGAACGGTCCCCACCCCAGCGCCCCTGATTGTAGGCGGCTTCAGGCCCCACCCCCTCAGGCCCTGAGTGACAGGAGATTGCGATCTCACGTGAGGCTGGATGAGGCCAGAACCACCGTTTTGGCCTAGCGGTTTGTAGGGGGTGCGTCCTTCCTCCGCTGGGATCTGACTATGCAAGGAGGACATTCGCATTTAACCTTGTATACAAGGTTATAGCTATTTGTGCATTATATATATATATATATGTATACATACACATATATATATATGTATGTGTATGTGTGTGTGTGTGTATATATATGTAATTGCAAGCAATATAGTAACAATTCTGTAACTGCCCAGTGGGTTCACCTTGCCCGCTACCTAGACAGAGCCGATTTCTCAAGACGGGGGAATAGCAATAGAGAAAGAGTAATTCACGCAGAGTCGGCTGTGCGGGAGACCGGAGTTTTTTATTTTATTTTATTTTATTTTTCTGAAACAGAGTCTTGCTCTGTCGCCCAGGCTGGAGTGCAGCCTCAGAGTTTTATGATTATTCAAATCAGTCTCCCTGAGCATTTGGAGATAAGAGTACTTAGAAAGTTTATTTTGCCAAGGTTGGGGATGTTTGTGCATGACACAGCCTCAGAATGTCCTGATGACAGTTGCCCAAGGTGGTCAGAGCACAGCTTGGTTTTGTTGGAGATAAATGCTCGGTGCTGCAAAGTGAAACCAGCACTCAAGCAAAAGTTTTCTCAGCAACGAAATTTACTTCTGCAGAAGTGTGCTGCTTGCATCAATCACAATGGCAAGAGCACACGGAACAAAGGAAAGCAGGGGTTTTTATTCCTAACGCAATCCCTACCTCTGGCATGGGCTGGGGTCGGACCTCAAGCTCTAAACTGACCCGGTTGGTATTGGTGAATATTTTCTCAAATAACGAAGGGGGAAGGGGGATGTGAGTTACAACGGTGGGACATGTGGTTTCGAAGGGAGAAATGGGTGCAGAGCAGGTATTTGATTAGAACTGATGGGAAGGTTGTTTATTGAGTAGAACTGATGGGAAGGTTAACTAAGGGCAAGGAGGAATGGAGAACAAGAAAGTTGAGTTCGAGAACAAAAAACAAGAACGTTAACATGCCAAACCTTGGAAGAGAAACTGACTGTATCTGACAGTTTTATACATTATAGGGAGACAGGAGACATCAATCAACATATGTAAGATGAACACTGGTTTGATCAGGTACAACCTGAAGCAAAACTGGGTCAACCCGAAGCCAGGAAGGGGCTTCCAGGTCACAGGTAGGTGAGAGAGGAACGGTTGCATTCTTGTGAATTTGCATGAGCCTTTCCAAAGGAGGCAATAAGACAAGCATTCTTCTCAGGGAGCAGGGGATGACTTTGAATAGAATGGGAGGCAGGTTTGCCCTAAGCAGTTCCCAGATTGACTTTTCCCTTTATCTTAGTGATTTGGGGGACCCAAAATATTTTCCTTTCCAATTTTCCCCTTTTGTTTTAAAAATATTTTGGAGAAAGCATTTTAGAAGAAAATCAGTCTCTGGTGCCAGGTTTTGTCTGATTTCTCATGAAGTAGCTGAGATTACAGGTGCACGACACCACACCTGGCTATTTTTTTTTTTTTTTTTTTTTTGGTAGAAACGGGGGTCTCCTTCGGTTGCCCAGGCTGGTCTCTGGTGCCCAACACAGGGCCCCGGTAATCTCTGCAAATAATCCAGTGAAGGAACACCAGAGCGTGGAAAGCGGAGGACGACCGACAAAGGACCCCCGAGTAGGTTTTCACTTCAAGCTCTAGGGTAAGTGGGGTACTCGGAGAATTCCAGGGAAACCTCGGGAAAATATGGGTCAGGCTGAGAGTAAGTTCGCTAATTACTTAGGCCTTGTGCAGCAGTTACTGCACCACGGAGGGGTAATTGTGAGTACCCAAAATCTCACATCTTTGTTCCATCTGGTAAACAAGTATTCTCCTTGGTTCCCGGAATATGGAACCATGAATGTGAAAGATTGGGACAAGGTCGGATCAGACTTAAAACGAGCACACTTAAAACGAGCACAACAAGAGGGCCACGATATTCCCGTCTCTGCTTAGTCTGTGTGGTCAGCAATTAAAACAGCACTGGAGCCCTTCCACACTGAGGAGGAGAAGGAGGAGTTTCAGGATGACATAGGAAAGTTGAATAATCAGGAGTCTATCAGCAAAGTGAACTATGACAGTTTAGTTTTAAAAAGGGCGAGAAACGGGAAGGTATGTACGCTATCTCCAAAAAGTTATAAAAGGAACAGTGCCACCTACTGCGCCTTTAGGGGAAGGTCTGGAATGGCCACCCCCAGGCCAGCCTTAGGAATTTTTGGAATGGGAGCCTGAGACTCGCCTTGTGGCTCCCTTTGTTGCAGGCCCCTCCAGTAACTATGGTGAAGGGAAGCTTCAGGCTTGTCCAAAAGCCAATTACCATGAGGGAATGATCCAGGCCTGCCCACCTGTTAATTATGGTAAAGGAATGCTGCGAGCCTGTCCAAATACAAATTATGGCACAGGGACAATCCAGGCATCCATTCGCCAGGTACAAGAAATAGGGGATTTGAATGCTTGGCAGTTTCTGGTAATTATTTCGCCAGCTGAGGAGCCCAGAGAACTTGCTCAAGCATGCTGGGACCCATTTCCTTTTAAAATATTAAAAGACTTAAAGCAAGCAATTGGACAAGATGGGCCAAATTCTCCTTATGTTCATTCCTTGTTACAATATATGACTTATAACAGACGTTGAATACCTATGGATTGGGAGGCATTAGCCTGATCCACCCAGACCTCTCTGAATTTCTCCAATTTAAAACCTGGTGGACGGATGAAGCAACAAATCAGGCACGCAGAAATGCTCAAGTCCAATGTCCCATTAATATCACATCTGATCAATTGCTTGGAATCGGACAGGCATGGGGTACTCTAAATCAAGAGATGGTAATGGGTGATAAGGCTGTTGATCAGCTCAGAACTACATGCCTAAGAGCCTGGGAAAAAATTCACGACCCTGCTACTGCTTATCCTTTTCACACAGTTCAACAAGGTCCAAGGGAGCCTTTTCCAGATTCTATCGCCCGTTTGCAGGATGCAGCTCAAAAGGCTATTTCCAATTTTCATGCCAAGAAAGTGATCGTTCAGCTGCTTGCTCATGAAAATGCTAATACAGAATGTCAGGCAGCAATTAGACCTATTAAGGGAAAGGCAGATCTAAATGAGGAAAAAACTTTAAGTGAATACATTAAAGCCTGCGATGGCATTGGGGGGCACTTATATAGGGCCAGCCTCCTTCTATAAGGCCGGGGGAGAGAGGGGGATGCTATTACTCCCCATATCATGGGGGGTGCCTCACCCCCATGCGATGTGGATCCTAACAGGGAGGGGGAGGAGGGGGTTGCTATTACTCCCCATTATGATGTGGATCATAATAATTACTCCACCCTGCAATGCGTGTCCATTATTAGCAGTCTCTTTTGTTCAGGATATTAGGAACATTTTCACAGGTTGTGTGTACACAGCCTGCGATAGGAGAAGGAATACCATCCTCTGCACCTCCGGCTATAAGGAACCATATCACACCATGAGTGTACACTTTTTGGGGAGATTTGGGCTAATGTCGTCCTGTGTTTCCCTGAATATTCGGAGACATATCACAGGGCGGCTGTACACCCACTACTCTCTTGGCAGGAACATCATACTTTACCTACCGGAAACTAGGAGCAATATCACAGACTGGGTGTCAAGCCACTGTCATATT